CTGAGTAACTCCTCAAAGGCCGTTACTGTGTTCTTGACGTGCTGGATGAGAAGGGATGAGACAGCTCTCCCAATCCTCATCTTCTGCCGTAGGCTGGTCAACTCTCTAGCCTGATTCTGAATTAAGGAATGATATTTCCTAAAGTAGGAAAGAAGAGGAAGAAATAAGAGTGGAAAGGAGTGACTGGTAGATTATGGCACTTGAGCAGATGGAACTTCGTGAGTATCACCAAAGGAGCCCCCACAATGAATTCTAGCACATGGTTAGTGACCTGAATGTGGTCGAAGGAATGAAGGAAGGAAAACAAAACCTTCCTCTGTGTGAAAGACCCCTTCTAAGACTGTCATTCCCTCTGTCTCATACTTCTGAAAATTGAACCAGGTTTTCTTCTCTAGCTCTGCTTGAAAAGCTGACCACTCTTCAGCCCATAGCCATTTTCATATAGTAAACAAAGCCAGGTGTTCATTGAAAGTTGAAAGGAAAATCAACCAAAGGGTCAAGAAAGAAAATTGTGGTGGAATTGAACTAGGAGGTAATTAAGAATAAATTTTTCTCTGAGCAAATATGACATCACAGGATTTCATTATGCTCTAATTATTTTATAAATATTTGTCATGCTCCCCAAACTTGACTATAAGGTCTGTGAAGGTAGATACAGTGCATATTTTTATGTGTTTCACAAACCCAGTATAGCATGGCTGCATGTTAGGTACTTGATGAATCTTTAAAATAACATAATCCTAAATCTGTTTTAGCACTTTTAATCATCTACTCAACTACCATCTAATTCTTGAAAACGCTCTATGCTTTTACCAGTAAGTGGTTGTCTAGAAGGAGGTTTTCAAATTCCTGTCTGTCTTGGTTATCTAGTGCTGCTGTAACAGAAATACCCCAAATGGATGGCTTCAACAAAGAGTTTATTCTCTCACAGTCTAGTAGTCTAAGAGTCAGAATTCAGGGCGCCAGCTCCAGGGGAAGGCTTTGTCTCTCTGTTGGCTCTGGAGGAAAGTCCTTGTCATAAATCTTCCCCTGGTAGAGGAGCTTCTCCGAGGAGGAACCTCAGGTCCAAAGGAC